CCCACAGCTTGTTTGCAACATCTGCTACTTCACAGCTGAATGCTTCCAGAAGCCAGCCTCTGAAAAGCTCTTTTAAAAACAGGCAACATATTTTGAGGACCTTCCTCATCTTTTGCTTGACATTTCCAAGATGGTGGGCTAACCAAAAACTGCAGTACATGAATAGTTATAAACTGTATGATTCAGTGAAAACAAGGCTTGATTGCTCAAAAGGGAGAAATTATCAATCCATAAGAATGCAAATTATTATTCCCCACAGCAAACATTAGCCCACCACAGAACTGGGATTTCAAGTTGATTAAAGTACACATCCCACATAACTAATCCCACTCAAGTCTTTGAAGTGTCTCTGATGGCTGGACAAAACTTCAGGTTTATTTTACCAACCATGAAGATGCATCACTCTTTTAGTGGACATCTTCTAAGAACAGGCTGTTGCAGAAAAGATGCATACCAAAAGAAAATCCATTTGTTCTATCTACTCCCTTCTTATGATAAACTGAAGTTACTTTTAATTAAAGCATGAGTCTTTTAGATTTCATGAATCACGAGAATGATCAATGCTCTGCCCCTTAGGCAGCTGCTGTATGAAGAGTCAGGAAACTGAAGTAAAAAATTAAGTTTTGAAGCAAGTCAGATTCAGCTGAGTGGTAAAGATTCAGCTTGACCTGGAAAGCTTGATAGTCCTTACAGGCCAGGGGGAACAAAATGACCAAGACATAAAAACATCCCATCTCAAGAATCCATCTGACCCCTAATCCTGGATTTAATTTACCTTTTTGTTTTGTGTAGAATTGCCATCCTTTACTGATTCCCTTTCTACAGAATATCCAAGTTACATCACTGTCAAATACTTCATGTCTTTTCAGAGCTGATTTGTGGTGACTTTTTAGAATCTACAACACAACTGCAAAACCGGCCTGTACACTGTGGACAGGTAAAATGACAGACATGCATACCATTGCTTGGAGCAGTGCAAGCAGGGGTAGAAGAGAAAGGGACTGCACAGTTAGCTGCTGGAGGAAACTAAACTGTTCAGTTTCATTTATACACAAGGTTCCACATGAGGAAAAGTGGGAATCCTTAGGGGCTGAACCATGCTACCCAGAAGCATGAATAGTGTTGGCACCATCTCCCCTTAACCGCTACAATTTGCTGCTATTGAGGAAGGGAACAGCAGGGGCACAATGGCTAGCGATAATTTGTATTACTTGGTTTTACAAAAGTATGAAAATAAATGAGGATGAAAAAATGGTGGGGATTGACAATCCTTAAACAACTGAGAGCAGGAGCTTAAAGAAAGCCAGTTCAGAAAAAGGAAAGGAAAGGCAATTTTAGCTATATAAGGAGTGTTAAACTCCAACCACCAGGGAGACAATTGGTGATTAAAGGAAATAGTTCCAAATATACTTTCTAGAAAGTAGGGAGTTACTTCTAAGTAAAAAATGGCTTCAATCATTCCCGTTGTTGACAAGCATGGATCTGAGTACAAATAATAAATAGGTAAACAGCAAATATGAATGTAATTTATTGACTGTAACGGTAAAAATGACAGTATATTATGTGCTGTATGGAACCAAGTTATAACTGCACTTCCAAATGGTTGGAGAATAGTAATACCTCAACTGCGCTAAAGGGTCCATGTCACTCACACAGACCTTGTTTCTTGGGTCCAGCCATTTCTGACAACTGGAGAAAGTTCGTCTGAATTTCCACCATCCACCAGAACTTCTCCCATTCTGACCTGAATGGAAGTTGATCATGTACTGTAACTTCCATTGGTTGAAACAGGGAAGGGTAGAAGAAGTTTGCGGTGAATTACGCTCACCATGTTCAATTTAATATGGTTTTGACATAAAAATTATTCATGTGTGGATTCCTGTTTGTGGAATGATCTGAAGTAAATCAGTGCACCCAGGATGGTATCCTTTTCTTTCCTCGGTGCTCCCCTTTGCAACTTTAGAATGGAGGAGGGGAGTCTGCAACTCTTGCAGGAAACCTTGAGCAAAGGACTCTGGATGCTTCCTCCTCTTGCCTAGTTCCTGCGGTCAGTCTTCCTACATGGTTTCATATTCCTTGCTCAGTTATCTCAGCTAGCTAGCTTTACTTCTATGGTTGTGTATGCCAGCCATTGTCATAACCAGCCACATCTCATCAAGTGACATATAAATTCTGGGTAGCTACCCAAAGGGATCCACTGTAGTTCTTGCCCATCACTTGCACTTAGAGGGGTTCCTTAGCGATATCAAGAAGTCCAGGCTTCCTCTCATTTTACTTCCTTAAAAAAACAGAAGATGGAGAAGATAATGGGCTTAAATATATCTGGCATGCTGACATGGTCTGCCACAAAGTACACATGCACACCACTCCCCAACAAGTAACCTCAGGCCATGGAACAGAAACTAATACTAAATGCTATTATTGCACCAAGAATATTCTTCTGTATAGCAAAAGCATATGCATGTGGTGGTGTTGTGTGTGTATGTAAATTACTATTTGAAGCATAAAGCAGGCAAGAGCTAATGTAATTGTAGCTGGTGTTCTCTCAATGAGAACTTCCTCAGCAAGTTTGAATCTAGTTGGTTTAGAATATTTATCAAAGAATATTTAACCGTCTGCTCTATTATTCATAATGGGTAATCACAGTTGGCAGGATGTGATGTGGGCTGCTTTGGGGATTCTCTTCTGAAGTGCACAGATGTATTTTTTACTAATGAATTCAAAATCCAAGCAAGCTTTCCACAGAGAAAAATATATACATGCAGACACACTTCAATAATTGGAGATTCTGATACAGCACTGAGGAGCAAGCATAAAGCGGTTTGCATACATTGATGTGTCAATTTTGACTGCTGTTTCCATCCCTTAACTTGACCATACCAAGCAACTCTCCTGTGATTGTCATCCAATAATGAGATACAAATGAAACCGCAACTTTGACAGATACATATCCATTACGTATCTAAAGTGAAATAGTTCCTGCCACTAAACAGCTCTCAAGTGTTAGTGGCTTCTGATCACTATGACCATATGTGTGTTTCAACTAACATCCTAGAAGAAGCTGAACCACAAATACCCAATACAGTCTATTGTAATGTAGTTGAGTTTGTTGAGATAAATGTTCAGCAGTGGGCTTTTAGAAATGTTACTTGGGTCTTTACCGACAGCTCAGGTGAGGCAGACAGATGAGGAAAGGGCATATATATATATATATATATATATATATGACCAAATACTTCTGGTATAGCAGCTTAAGTTATGCAGAACTCTTCTTCATGTAGAACAGAGTGTTGTCTAGCATTATCTTCAGCTGTACAATTCCAGATTATAGGAAAAGCAGATGAAGTACAGAACTGCTATGTACCACCAGGCATCTATTACATAAAAGGCATAGAAGCACCCTACAGATTCATTTGGGGGAATGGGCTAAAAAGTAGAAAGAAAGGCTAATGCTTGTGTCAAATACGGCTGCTAGAAAATCTGTCTGATTCATTATTTTTCAAAAGTATTCTATTCCTAATGTACTGGAAAGAGAAGCACATCAGGATTCCTTCATTTTCTGTTTAAATTCTGCTATATATAGTTCAAATGCATAAGTAGTGCAATGCAACAATGCTTTTAGGCATCACCATCTCCTCCACAGCCTTACATTCCTAAATTCTGCAAGCCTTAAATTCTGTTAGAACCATGAACAGACTTGCTGAAAGGGACCACTTGGAGACTGTTTGCAGTAAGAAGGTTCAAATAAAGATTCAAACTAGAATTACATGCTTGTAATGACAGAATCCAGATGGAAGCTGAAAACAGGAATATAGACAGGGCATGTAGGGCCATAGGCCTTAAAAATAAAAAGCAATGTAAGGAAGGTAGAGCTAGACCATAAAATGAATCGCAACTGAAAATAAGCTCTTTTAAGTGTTTAGATTTGAAAGTATATTTTGAAATGAGAATGTGGGAACAAAATATAAGTCAAGGCAGTGGCATTTGACGATGTTCATATGATGGTGGCTGAAATTTCTGGCCATAGCTATTTGGTGGGGAGACACAGGACAAGTTGCCTCAGTAATTAACTAGTGTTTGAGGGTGGCTGCCTGCTAGATTAGGAATACAAAAAGACTAAACCCAGGCTAGACACAAATTATGGCTAGGGGGATAGGCATAGCTGTCAAGTGTCCCTTATTTGAAGGGACAGTCCCTTATTCCAGCGCCATGTCCTGCTACTGTCCCTTATTGATGGATGTCCCTTAAATGTCCCTTAAATGATGTCCCTTAAATTTCAAAGGAAGCAGCTCCTCTCCCTCCCTCCCTGCTGGCCAGGGAGGAGGGAGGCTCCAACTGTGTTGCTTGGCTGTGTTGCTCACCCAATAAGGAGTCTAAGAACGACTGGGGGGTGGAGCTTGCATGCCTTGTGTGTGGCTAGTTAGTGCAAGCTGAGGGGGTTTTTGAATGCTGGACGCCATTTGTTGCACGTGCTGCTGCAAACTTTGCAGTGCAAAGCCAGGCCTGGGAGCCATCTTAAGTTGAGGCTGCATAGGCCTTGTGGTGCATGTGATTCAGATTCTATTCAGTTGAACCTCTGGTTACAAAGTTGGTTAGACAGTGTTCTCGAAGCTACCAGCATGAGTTTGACCAGACTGCAGGAGGACAGGAAGACTGGAGTGCCTGGAACAGGTGAGGCTGCAGGTCCCTTATTTTGGCTGCTGGTCCCTTATTTTCAAGGCTGCTGGTCCCTTATTTTCAAATCTGTAAGTTGACAGCTATGGGGATAGGCAGGGCTGGAGTTCCAAAAGAAGTTGAAATACCCATCATTAATGTCATTAGCCTGTATTTATCTGACCTAGGGCCTCTCCAGGACTTTATGCTATTTGTTGATATGCAGAGGGCAATTGTGAGTGACTAAGACATGGTTCAGACACAACAATCTTGGGCTGATAAACTGTGGTATGTCTGATCCATGTTTCATATCCTGGTTTGTAAGCAGTGCTTAAACTACACTGCCGGCAGACAGCTCAGTTGGTTAGGGTGTGGTGCTGATAACACCAAGGTCATAGGCTCGAACCCCATATGGGACAGCTGCATATTCCTGCATTGCAGGGGGTTTGACTAGATGATCCACAGAGTCCCTTCCAACTCTAAAATTCTATGATCATGGGAAGCTGTGGTTTTAACAAGCCAGGCTAGGAAGAGGGGTAAGAAGAGAAGGAGAAGGGAGCATATGGGCTCATGGACTTTTTCTTCAGGCCAAGATAATTACATCTTAAATGAGGTGTAAATTTTTTTTTGGGGTTTTTTAGTATTAATTGACTTCTTCCAGAATGCTAGGACTGTCCACATGTTTGCAACCTCGTGAATAGAACCAAATGGTTCAAATGTCCTGGAAGGCCTATAAACACCATCTTGATAGTCAGGGGAATCATCGGTGCAAGCTGTAAAAGGAGATCCTATATGCTTATCTGCTTGCTTTCAAGCCTTAGCTTCTGGTTTGGTAAGCTGGGAGAGGGAATGGCAGTGGGGAATGAGCCTCTAAACCAGGAGTGGGTTTTTTTTATTAAAAAAAATAATTTTTATTAACCGGCCAATCAAATCAAATCAAATCACATCACATAAATTCCGAATTACAAAGCCGAATTTTAAATTTTGTTGAGGGGACCCATATTTCAAGATCCGAAGGGGGATTCTGATCATCTTCTTGCTACTGCGTTAATGTCCAAATCAGTCCAAACAAAGTTCATAATTCTATCCAGTCTTATCTTGCTGTTTCCACATCACATCTTGTTCATATATTTTCTCTTTTTTCTTTATGATCTCTTCTGATAGTCTCCTTAAGCCGATAAACACCAATAATAATCCTGTGTGAATTTTTCCGTTCTTCCAATCCTCAAATCGAGATGGTTTCCATATATCATCGCCTTCATAGATAACATCGCTCTTTCCATCTTTAATTACAGAACTGTCGTTCTTAAGTCCCTCTGAGGAGTTTCACCCACAATATAAAAACAGCTCTATTTCTCTATTTCTCCTCCCAGACTTAAGTCCTCCGACAGAACTTCCCAATATGGCGACGGCACTTTTAACTGCGTCATTCCAAAGCCCTTATACATTCCACGCTCTTCTCAAAACATGCTTTGGTTCGAAAGTTTATCTCCACACAGCCTTAAATCCACAGCTTAAGTCCTTAAAACGACATTTCTGACTTGTGGGGGGGGGATTCTTGTTTAATCACATAAAGGAAAGAAAGGAAAGTTTTTCCCCCTCCCCCATCAGTCCCTTTGCCATACCGAGTCTTGGCGTATCTTCTCATGATTTATACTTGTTCCTCCGACTCGTCTTGTTTTATCAGAGATCTCTTCTGTTAGCAGTCTTTACTCCCCCTCCTTCCTTGAAATATGTGCATTCGCTTCATCCAAATTGTTTCTTTTGAAGTTCTTGCAGCTAGTGGCACGGATCAGAGACGGCGTCCAGGAGCGCCGAAATCCCACAGGAGGGCATTGTGCCTAGTGCCCCCATCCCCACAAATTCGGGGGTGGTATAGGGCACAGCAGGCAAGGGCAGTCCCCCCCCCACAATCCTGGGGGGGTAGGGAGGCTATTTACTCCCATCACAGCCTCCAAATTACCTCGTGTGGGTCGGAGAGATGTTATTGTCAGCCATCTTCTGATGCGCCCCTAGTGGCCCCTCCCTAAACCAGGAGTGGTTAAGTGGGCTATCGTTGCAGCTTTTCGTATAAGTAACCCATACATGACTAGCCCCTCACAGACAAATTCATAGTGCTTGCTGCTTCAGTGTCCGTCCTGAGGCAGTGGCCAGGACCCTGCATTGCATTGCTATGTGTAAGTCTCTTGATAGATCTCTATAATAAAGCTCTAGAACTAAACACTCTAGAATTTTGTGCATCTTTCTTTGGAATCCCTGCAACTAGGTTCTTTGGGGCATCAGTCAATCCTTCTCCCCAGTCTGTACTTGGTCCCACGGAACAGAACATCTCAAGAGTAGATAACTACTGATGTGTATTTTGTAATATTTTTAAGAACTTAAAATTAGAAAAGGTACAAAGTGGGCATATCTCATATCCATGTAAACATATTTTGAGTCACAACCACTAAAATAAATTATTTACATTTCAGGAGTGTTAGCCTTATTCTGCAAAAAACAAACAAAACAAAACAAAGATTTCCAATTGTGATAAAACATAGTAATTTTGCTAACTTGACCATTACTGCATATTCATACAATTTAGCATCCAATTCTAAAACAGTGGGAATTGATATTGTTTCTCATCAATTAACATGAGATTGTCATGTAGCTATGACAAGATAGAAGATAATTTCCCACATACACTTTGGTATGAATATGTAGAAGATCATTTCTCATGGACACATTGCAAATTGATGGTATATATGCCAATGAAAGTGGCTAATACACAATCCCAACCCAAACAAGCCACAGTATGTTGGTTCACACAGATATAACCCTATTTTCTTGCATTTGACTATAATGGCTTAATTTATATGTTCTACTTCAACCAGTTTTTGGATGAGGATACAAGTTAATAAATACATGTTAGTGACTTCTCTGTAAATTGTTATATGCACCAGATGTTTTAGGCTCACAACAGTTCATTCCCTAGAAAACTATCCCATGATTCAAACTTGCAATGTTATAAAATGTTTCCACTGTCCTCATTTCAGCTCAAGAAATTTCATTTCTATCACATTCTTTTTTCCTCTCTTTTTAAAGCATTTCCCCTTAAATATGGTTATTACTATTTTAGGATTTTGTGGGCTGCATCTAAGCACTGATTTTTTTCAGCAGCTCAATTCTTTTGCTAATTGGTCCTGCTGAAACAGCTCTCCCAGTTTTAGATACACTTCGAGCTGTCCCACTTTACTTTTGCTGGGAGTACATTACTGTAAGAGAATCATTAAAACATATTCTCTTCCTCTGCTTGTGCAGCTACCTGTATCCAGAGCTTTCTGTATTTTCAGATACCTGCACTGCATCTTGGAATGATTTTCTGCAGCAATAACGAGCCTATTGCATACCCAAACAATTAATTTCATTGCCAACGAAGACATAGCTGCCTTTGTCCAAACAAGCAGAATCATCTATTCACATTTTAAACCACAACCTGTAGTAAATAATCCCACAAGTGTTTCATGTGATTTTATAAGGGGGTTATTGTCACGCTAAACTATAATAATCATACCATACTCATGCAGCTACCCTAAACAGAGAATATTCCTGCTGAGCTGAAAGATCCAAGATATTCATCTGTGACAGCAACAGATGAAAGCTAAATATAGACAGCCAAAACACTTCTCTGTATATTTTCAGTTAAAATGACTTTACTGATAAACCACAGACAGCACAAATTAACTCTTTGGCAATTAGTCTCTTGATATATGCTACAGTACCTGCAACATGCACTAGATTTAAGCACAGCTAAGAAATTCTGAAAAGAAAATGGCTGAAAACCAGGACTTAAGTCAATTTCTAAAGGACAGCCTTCCCAGGATCTTTAGTTGTTTTTGATTTCCATTAAAACAGGTAAAGGTAAAGGGACCCCTGACCATTAGGTCCAGTCGTGGCTGACTCTGGGGTTGCGGCGCTTTATTGGCTGAGGGAGCCGGCGTACAACTTCCGGGTCATGTGGCCAGCATGACTAAGCCGCTTCTGGCGAACCAGAGCAGCACACGGAAACGCCATTTACCTTCCCTTCCCGCCAGACCGGTACCTATTTATCTATTTGCACTTTGATACTCCTGTGATATTTTGGTTTTGCTCAATTTCTCATTTTTCCATTCTTAGTTCTCCACAATTCTACATCTGTCGGCACTTAAAAAAAACATTTTCACAAAAATTCATCAGCATTTTGCGAATTGCTCTCGATATACGTATCTTTGCAAGCAAATTTCCCTAATATAATGAGTTTTGTATGTTATTTTCACTAGTACATGCATTTTTATGAACACCTTCCCCTAATATACACATCTTGCTACATATGTGGTTGGAGAACTGCACTGGAAATTTAAAAATATGAGAATTTTAAAGGATAACTGCACTCTGGTTCACATATTCATTCAGGAGTGCAAGTCAGAAATTTTTGCACTGAAGTGTAAACTGAACCAAATTTCTCATTTATTTATTGAACCTTACAATTTAGAAATGGGCTATCCAAAATTCAGTTTAAGATGTATCTATGAAATGTATCATAGATATAATAAAAGCTTCTCTATTGTTTCCAATCACAATAATACGCTAGTCTGAGTGGACAGGCAGATTTTTCCACTTCAAACTGCAATGTGCTCAAAAATGTGCAGATGAAAACTGACTATAATGGCTCTCACCTGTGGGCAGGAGTTTTACATCCTTTCATCTTTATTTACCACCTTCCCACCTTTGTTTTAACTTACCTTGGCTCAAATGGTGGCTTAAGGTTTTGAATTTTCTTGATCATACTTTGTACGGGTATTCACAGTTAAAGACCAACAGTTGTGGGAAAACAACATGGATAATGTGAACAAAACTTAGATTGCAAGCAAGCACAAAGCAGTATGTCCAATAGCCTGTCCTAATATTTGGCTGAGCCACAGATGCTAGATCTAACTCATTTATTTCCTGCCTGGCATTATTAAATTCAAGTTCTCTCTCGTCCAAGAAAATAATTCCTGTTTTGGTCTGTTGGCTTTACAAAAAGCACAGTCATGGCAAGAAATTTATCACAAATATTTATTCTGAACACTTTCATAGAATAGAAATATGTTATTGCGGTGAGCTATGCCAAGCTAAATAGCAGTAAACATGACCAAAAGGCATATAACCTTTCACTTCAATATGCAATGAATACTTTCCCATTTTGTTGGGATATTTCCATAGTTCAGTGGACATGCCTTTCAGAATTTTTTTAAAAAGAAGGCATAAATGACAAGAGAGAGTAATTGTGTTCAACACCTATCAAGGTCTATGCTGAAACCAATAAGATGCCTAACCATTTGGGGCAAGGCTTCATGGGTAATCTCCATTTTAAGAAAAGAAGCCCCCAAAGCACACCGAAATATTTTTTCCTAGATGAAGTCTT